CCTCAGCCTCCCAAAGGCGCGGGATGACAGGCTGAGCCACTGAGCCCGGCAGGTGTCCCGTTCTTCGTGAGGCTTTTCCTGGCTACCCTACTCAAAGCTGCAACAGCTCCCTGACCTACCATTCCCTATCCTCTGTCCTGCTTCATTTTTCTCTTTAGCTGTTGCCACCTTCTAACATACCAAATATCAAACTTCTTGGCTTACTTACTGATTGTCTCTCCCTCTACAATGGCAGTCATGCAAGGGCGGTGATTTTTCTCTGCCTTGTTCATTACCAAATGCCCGGTGTCAAGAACAGGGCCCAGCACAATCGATATTTGTGGCATGAATGCAAAGTGAACTGTTTCTTGTGCTCCATCCCACTGCCCAGCGCTGGGCTGGGAACCCAGTGATGGCTCAAGGCAGGGCCAGGGGCTGTCGTCAGTCCAGTGAGGCAAAAAGACATCATTCCCATCGCCCAGAGCATTATTTCATCAGTTGGGATCAGGTGGGCTGCCATTCTCTCTCACAGGCCCTAGCATCTGACGCTGTACAGATCATTCCAGACCTCCCCCCTCCTCCTGCCCTACATCCTGGTCACTCTCCTCCACTCTGCTCCTCAGGCTCTGGTCAAGGCCAAGCCACCAGCATCTTTCGCTGAGTGTTGATTGCAGCCAGAGGGAGTCTCTTTTTTTTTTTTTTTGAGTTGTTGTCTAACTGTCACCCAGGCTGGAGTGCCGTGGCACGCTCACGGCCACCGCAGCCTTTACCTGCTGAGCTCAGGCGAGGCTTCTGCCTCAGCCTTCCAAGTAGCTGGAACTACAGGCATGTGCCACCATGCCCGGCTAGTTTTTTTATTTTTTATTGTAAGAGGTGAAGTCTTGCCAAGTTGCTCAGGCTGGTCTCGAACCCGTGAGCTCAGGCAATCCGTTCCCCTCGGCCTTCTAAAGTGCTAGGATTATAGGCATGAGCCACCGCGCCCGACCAGAGGGAGTGCCTATTAACACCCAAGACAGCTCCATGCTCAGAACTCTTCTGTGTCTCCCCAGTATTAATAACATAACAACCAAATGACTTGCCAGGCACAGTAGCTCACACCTGTAATCCCAGCACTTTGAGAGGCAGAGGCAAGAGGACTGTCTGAGCCCAGGGCTTCGAGACCAGCCTGGGCAACATAGCAAGACCATGTCTCTACAATAAATAAAAAAATTAGCCAGGCATGTTGGTGTGCGCCTGTGGTTCCAGCTTCTGAAAGGTCGAGACGGAAGGATCGCCTGAGCCCAGCAGGTCGCGGTTACGGTGGCAGTGAGCATGCCACTGCACTCCTGCCTGGGTGACAGAGTGAGACTCCAACTTAAAAAAAATAAAAATAAGTAACAACCAAATGCCTCACCATGCCTACATAGCCCAACATAATCTGACCACCGCCAACTTCTCCCCCTTATGCTACGCTACTCTCACCCATGGCTCTTACCTTTTCTGGTCCATGCTCCCTCCCATTTCAGGCCCACTTTACATGCTGGCAGGCTCTTGTCCATTTCTCCCTTAGATAGTACCTCCTCCAGGAAGACTTCCCTGACTCCCGGCAACACAATCCTCTCCAGATTGCTTCACATTTGTTTGTGGGGTTATGTGGCTATTCTCTACCCCACACCCACTATGCTGTTAGGACCGTGAAAGTGAGACCATGTGTGTTTCGTCTGCTGTGAAATCCCCAATCCTGCTCACAGGGCCTCACACACAGTAGGATTCAATGTTGTTAAATGAAAGAATGAATTAGCCGGGTGTGGTAGCACACACCTGTAGTTCCAGCTACTTGGAAGGCTGAGGCGGAAGGATCGCTGGAGCCCAGCAGGTCGAAGCTGCAGGGGCCAGGAGTGGCCACTGCACTCCAGTCTGGGCGACAGAGTGAGACTCCAACTCAAAACAAAAGAAAAAAACAAATGAAAGAATGAAAACATGTAACTGTAAAACAACTAAGGAAGTAGGTATTAGTTTTATCCCCATTTTACCAATGAGCAAACTGAAGCTCAGGAGGGGAAATGAATGAAAGGTGAATTAGAAAGAATGGGGAATCAGACAGACTGGGCAGCTCAGGCAGGACCATACAACATGCATGAACTCCACTGTTTGTTTTTTTGAGACAGGGTCTCACTCTGTTGCCCAGAAGGGCAGTGGCATGATTCCAGCTCACTGCAGCCTCGAACTCCTGGGCTCACACAATCCTTCTGCCTCAGCCTCCCAAGAGTACAGGCGTGGGCCACCATGCCTGGCTAATTTTGGTATTTTTTGTAGAGACAAGCTCTCACTATGTTGCCAGGTTGGTCTTGAACTCCTAGGCTCAAGTGATTCTCCTGCCTCAGTCTTCCAAAGTGCTGAGATTAAAGGTGTGAGCTTCTGCGCCCAGCCTGAACTCCATGTTGTACTTGTACCTGTGCCCACTCACAGGAGCCCCATGAGACCTGGATAGCATCTGTCTCGTGCACCACTGGACCTGGGCACAGGGTAGCAGTGGCAACAATAACAGCAGTAACAGTCATCCAGGTCCTCTAGCTCGTCTCTAAAATCTTGAGAATCACACAGCTTGCATGTTTTCATGAAGTCACATGGTATGTATAGCACAGTTACGGGTCTGGGCAGGACACCAGACTCAAACACACTGATGTTGGGTTGAACCATAGGAAATTGCCAAGAGTTGACCATTTCGGATTACAGAAAATATTTCATCTGGTACAACGTAATATATGCAGCGAGATGTATAAATATTCACCCAAATGAGATCAGTACAGATTACAAATAGCCTCTTGTTCTTTAGGTCAGATTTTGCTGTCAAACCAGGGTGATGCCAAATATGCAAAAAGTCTTTTGATTTTAAAGCCTTGTGTTCAGAATTGTAGAGGATAGCAGAGCCGCCATACTCATGACAGTTACTGTTAACAGAGCTGTGCTTTCCATGTATTTACTGACTCATTTCATCCTCACAACAAGGTAGGAGAGAAATATAATCATTATTATCCCTGTATGACAGTTGGGGACACAAAGCCAGAGAGGCCCAAAGTCACACACCTGGTAAGTGGCAGAGCTAGGACTCATACCTAGGCTGCCCTAAATTTTTTCCTCCCAAGCACTTACCAGGTGCCCCGGGGCCAGAGCCCTTGCTGGAATCAGGGGCAAAGTTCCCAGAGAAGGGGGAGAGGCCATTGGAGCTGAGGAGGCGTGAGGAAGTGCTGGCATCACTGGGACTGAGGGACGAGCAGGAGATGGAGCCCTTGCTGCAGAAAGAAGGCAGAAGTGAGGCAATGGAGATCTCAGAGGCAGCGGGCTGGGCAGCGCCGTAGGAGTGGGAAGAATGACTGGGGCTGGTGGAGGCACCTGCGTTTGAGAAGCTTGGCAGCTCTGCTTTGTAAGCTCAGTGTCTCCAGGTCTAGCAGGGATGAGTTCCATGTGTGGAGGCTCTGTGGGGTGAGAGAGTCAGAGGCCAGCCCCCACCCCAAAGGCCGCTGGGAAAAGGACTCTGGACGGAGGTTCTGGAGTGCAGGTCTGTACCCCACCTGATACCCTCACATGCCAGCTTAGAATTTGCTCCTCCTCCTCAGGGAAGAGAGACTCAGTTCTTCTCCTTTGGATTCACACCTTTCACGTGCAACTCACTGCTGTTGGAGAAGGACCGGTCCTTCCTTCCAGGCCAGAGCTGACTTAATCAAGCACAGTGACTGGCTCAAGCAAGGACGAGTAAGAGTGAGTACAGGGGCTTTGGACAGAGCTATTAGAAAAGCCTCCACTTTCCACAGGAGTAGCTGAGTTACTACCATGGGCACCTGGAGGCACTGGGGGCCATCTTGGCTCCTATGAGGGGGAAAGCCTGCCTGATGTAGAGTCCAAAAAAGAGGAACACAGAATCAAGAGAGTTGGGTTCCTTCCAATATTTTTCAAGCACCTGGATCCGGCCATGCCTGAAAGCATCTACTTTTGGATTTCTCAATAACATTAAGCAACAAGTCCTCCTTTTCTGTTTTAGCTCCCTTGAAACAGGGATCAGGTCTGGTGCTGTCGGTTCAGGCACATAAGGGAGGAAGTGAACGGGGATGCCACCTGCTTTATTTCCTGAAGGGGAGCCATGAGTTGGGATGTGCTGGTCACTTTGGTAGGAGTCAGGAGAGCTGTATAGGGTCTTCCTTCTGGTTCACTGGCTCCTGCTAAGAAGTCCTGGTTGAGTCATGAGGACCAGGAAGAGAGGCTGCTGAGGGCATTGATCAGGAAAGGTTTTAAGCCAGGGGGTGTATGAGACTGAAGTAGGTACCTGCTGCAAGTTGACTGCTGGGGTCTGGAGACTCAGACTGCAACCACCAAAAGTCAGCTGTGGTTGGGCCTGCAGGCTGGCGTTCCTCTCGGCTTGTGGGCTGAGCCTGGCGGAACCTGTTTATATACCTGTGAACATCAGGGCATGGGAAGTGAATGAGTGAGGAAGGCCAAATAATAACAATAATAATAATTACAACAGCCAATGTTTTCCAAGCACCATGGCAGAGCCTGGTAGCTGTGTTCCCTTCTTATATAGTAATGCACCTTTTAGCTGGGCACATAGCCACTCTTCTAAAGACTACATTCACTGGGTGCCTTTGCAGCCTTGTGGCCATGGAAGTAGGTTCTTGACAAACAGGGCATCAGGAGTTGTGATTCTGGAAAGCTGATGTGTTTGGGCGCCATTCTGGTTCCAGAAGGAAAGGGCAACAGCCTAGGGATGGGACAGCAACTAGAATCTTGGGTCCCTGCTGCCTCAACTAGGAGCTGCCATATCAGCCCTGCTTACTTCTACCTGCATGGTAGAGGAGGGAGAAATAAATGCTATCTTGTTTAAGCCAGGGGTCCCCAACCCCTGGGCCACGCACCGATACCAGTCAGTGGCCTGTTAGGAACTGGGCCAGGGATTGGCAGTAGTGGGAATCTGCCAGAAGGGGAGGGCACACCTCATCAACAAGGGTACCTGCATAATGAACATTGTATACCTAACCATGAATTGTACCCCACATCTTTAAAATAAAAAAAAAATTTAAGGAAAAAAAAAAGGAACCAGGACACACAGTGGAAGGTATATGACAGGTGAATGAGCCAAGCTTCATCTGTATTTGCAGCTGTTCCCCATCGTTCACATTGCCACTTGAGTTCCGACTCCTGTCAGATCAGCCATGGCATTAGATTCTCACAGGAGCACAAAGCCTATTGCGAACTACGCATGTGAGGGATCTAGGTTTTGTGCCCTTTATGAGAATCTAATGCCTGATGATGTGAGGTAGAGCTGAGGTGGTGATGCTAGCGCTGGGGAGTGGCTGTAAATACAAGTTAGCATTAGCAATGAGGTTTGACTGCACAGAGATCATAATAAATCAATTACTTACAGACTCCTATCACAGCCCTATCAGTGAGTGGCAAGTGAGTTGATGTACTTCAATTGTACAGCCCCATCTGGTGGCAGGCTTTAAGTCAGAATCCAGTCTGGGCATGTTGGCTCAAGCCTGTAATCCCAGAATTTTGGGAGGCTGAAGAAGCAAGAGGACTGCAGGTCCTGGACCTGAGTCCAGCAGGTCGAGGCTGTGGTAGCCATGAGCATGCCACTGCACTCCAGCCTGGGCGACACAGTGAGACTCCAACTCAAAAAAAAAAAAAAAGTCAGAATTCAACACTTATTTTAGTCCATGCATTATTTGACCACCTGCTTCTGTGCTTCTTTTTTTTAAAATGGTGAGCTGTATAATTATTTCATTATATGTTACAACGTAATAATAATAGAAATAAAGTACACAGTAAATGTAATGCGCTTGACATCCTGAAACCATCCCCCCATCCCTATCTGTGAAAAAATTGTCTTCCATGAAACTGGTCCCTGATGCCAAAAAGGTTGGGGACTACTGGTTTAAGCCATAATTACTTGGGGACTCTTTGTTATAGCAGCTGAAGCTATAGCAACTGAAGCTATAAATCCAAGTGCTCACTATGAGAGAGGCATTAGTAGAGATCATTACATATGGTAACTCACTGAAAGTTCAAAACAACACTAAGAGATATGTGCTATTAATATGCCCAATTTAGGCTGGGTGCAGTGGCTCACGCCTGCAATTCCAACACTTTGGGAGTCCGAAGCAAGAGGACTGCCTGAGCTCAGGGGTTCAAGACCAGCCTGGGCAACATGGCGAGACCTAATCTCCACAATAAATCAAAAAATTAGCCAGGTGTGGTGGCATGCGCCTGTCCCAGCTACTTGGAAGACTGAGGTGGAAGGATTGCTTAAGCCCAGCAGGTCGTGGCTGTAGTAGCTGTGAGCGTGGCACTGCACTCCAGCCTGGGCAGCAGAGTGATTCTCCAACTCAAACAAAACAAAACAAAAAACCCCAATTGAGAGATAAAGAAATTGAGGCCACGCTCATGCAGAAAGTAAGCGACAGAGCTGGGATTTGAACCCAGGCAGTACAGGCCCAGGGCTCTCAATAACACACACGAAGTGTCTCGTGATAAAACAGCACTGCATAAACAGCTCTGACCATGATAATTATAATGGCATGCCTGCTCCCTCCCCATAATCCAAACTCTTACTCCCCCCAGGGCTGCTAGTACTTACTTGGCCACCACAGAGTCCTCGCTGTCAGCCAGGGTGGGTAGTGGGGAGGCCCCGCTCTGTCCCTCAGCGGTGCTGGGTGGTGAAGGGGTCCCTGAACTGGATGGCCAGGACTGCTCAAACAGCTCAGGGGAGTTGAAACCTGTGGCTAGAGCTTTGGGAGCTTGTGGGAGCCTGGATCTCTGGGATCTTGATGGGTTCAGGGTCTAAGATGAGGGAGCGCACAGAAAGAAAAAGTGAGGTCTGAGGGATCATTCCTGTAGGGGAACGAAGACACGCATAAAGTCTCAGTCCAGAGGGGAAGGAAAAACATCCTGCTATGACAGCAACCTAGAGTGGTTGGGGCTGTGATGGGGGGTCCAGGTGATAGAGAGCTGGACTGGGGAGAGCTGTAGGGAGGGAAGGAGGGACTGTCTCTTGCTGTCTCATCCCCAGCTCCCAGCACATGTCTTCCTATCCTCTAGTGGTCACTCCCTTGCTAGTGAGCTGGTGCTCAGCACTCTTTGTGGGGTGTCCTCACCTTGGGGCACCAGGTCTGGCTTCGGGATGGCCAGTAGTGGCTTCGACCCAGGGGAGCACCTCCAAATGGACTGTCTTGGAGAGGGAAAGCTGGGAGGCTGCAAGGGGAAAGTGGAGTTGGCAGACAGAGCACGGTCACTGCAGAGCCAGACAATTCCCATAGATTTCTGGAAAAGATGTTCTCTCATTCCCACCATGTACCGCTACACATTCAAGATAACGACGGGGGATGCATGATTCCCATCAGCCTTTGGAGCAGTCTTAACAGAGAATCCAGAAACTGGTAGCCTGTGGCTCTCAACCCGGGGTCCAGTCTAGGAGGGACCTTTTACAACTTTAGCTGGGTTCCCACCCCAGACCAACAGAATCAGAACAGCTGGAAGTGGGACTGGGCGTCTGTATCTTTTTCGCAGCGTCCCAGGTGATTTTGAAGCGGAGCTCAGGTTAATAACCGCAACTAGGACTCTCTCACCGCACGTTTCCTTTAAATCGTTGGGGACGCTAAGGCGCAGAGTCGATAGACTACAAACCCCATGATTCACTGGGTTCCACCATGGCGAGAAAGTTCAAAGACAACACCCATGAATTCCTGGGGGCAATTTCAAAATTAAGAAACTCAATTTCCAACCTATCCTTGGACACGCTGGAGGAAAGAATCCCTTGGGGCCACTCAGAGAGGACAAAAGCAGTTTGGGGCACCCCCGGGAAGGCGGGGTCTGAGGCTGGAGGGGCCAAAGGCTATGGAGCATCTTGGGAGTTGTAGTCCCACTGCAGCTGAGCCCGAGAGACGCGGGATTGCAGTAAACCGGTCCCTAGGCTGTATTGCTCTCACCCTTGGTTCTCTCCAGGCCTCTGGGGGTCCCTGGAGGAGGAATCAGCCTCACCTGCTGTCCATCCCGTAGCCAGCTCAGCGCTTCCGCCTGCTCCGCTCCTTCACCGGACAGACGCGCGCGCATCTTTGTCGCTGAGCAACGCACTGTTAGCCCCGCCCCGCCGGCCAGGCCCGCGCAGGAAGAGAGCGGCCTCCGAGGCGACCAATGGCTGAGAGGAAAATAAACACAGCTGGAACGTGACCAAAGGGAGGTGTCTCACGACTGGCTGTAACTCGGCCTGTCTGAGAGAGCACGTGTGATTGGACAACCTGTAGCTCCCAGCAGTAATTGGCAAGACGGTTGGCCAATGGAAAGGCTCTGAGACTGGGCTCGCGATTAGGCGACCGATCTAAGGTACCCTCGCTTTCCTGCAGCGTCGCTTTCTAACTACCCTCTTGCTGCAGGAGTACGTTCCCAACTCCAGGGTAACTACCGTTCTTTTTGTTGTGGCGCAATGGGAGAGTCTGTCCCCTCTCTAATCGCCATTCCTCCACCAGCTGAATCAATCGGCCCGTCCTGATGGTCATCTAACCATTTTCCTCTAGCTGCAGGAGCAGCTGGTTGTCTCAGTTGCCAGGCCTGGGCTCCTGGCCCAGGTAGCGGGATCAAAATGAGCTATTTCGGGCCCCGGCGCTCGGCCCCCAGGGGGCCAGCTTGGACTGTTCGTGCTCGCACCCCCTGGTCACTGCGCACCCGAGGCTGAGTCAGAGGCACAGAATTAGGCCCGGCTTGCGGGGGGACGGGCCCAAGGCCCGGTTGAGGATGGGGATAGGGCCTGCTTTGTGTCCTCCTGACAGCCTGACTTGGCTACCGCATTCTCCAGGAATCTGCTCCCAGGACCTCCATCTGCGTCATCCTCAGAGCTGCCAGCGGGGCGGGAGTGAATTAAAGGGACGAGAAACTCTTCAGTGGGCCTCTCGGGCCCGGGATCCCAATCCTCAGGCTGTGCTCCCTACACCCGCAGGTTTCTGCCTCTTCAGCCTTTGTTTCCCCTTCAGAAAATCGAGGGATCTTAATGACATCTTCCTGGCAGCCTTCGCCAGGCATCCAGCAGGCGCTTAATAAGCGGCCAAGTCATTGTTTGGGTTTCTAAATAAGGCTCCACTAATGGCCGGGTCTGGCTACCGTCCCAGTGTCCCCGGGCGGCCCTCCGAGGGGCCGGCACGGGGCGCACTATAAATCGGCGGCTGCGCACGCGGGGCACTGCAACGCCGCGGAGCAGGATGGAGATCCCGGTGCCTGTGCAGCCGTCCTGGCTGCGCCGCGCCTCGGCCCCCCTGCCCGGACTTGCGGCCCCCGGACGCCTCTTTGACCAGCGCTTCGGCGAAGGGCTGCTGGAGGCGGAGCTGGCTGCGCTCTGCCCCACCGCGCTCGCCCCCTACTACCTGCGCGCCCCCAGCGTGGCGCTGCCTGTCGCCCAGGTGCCAGGCCTGGGGGAGGGGCCGACTCGACCACTTCCAAAGCTAGGGGTCTGGGCCAGCGTGGGGTGGGGGGAGGGGAATGTTCGATGACTGAGCGGAGTAGAGTTCGGCCACTCGGAGGGCCGTGCGGGGTCCCCTGAGTAGGGAATCTGGAGACCGCGATACAGAAGCGGGTGGGGGGTCCCGTCGCTCTGAGGTTGGGGAGGGGCGGTCTCAAAACTCTGAGGGCAGTGGGAGGCTTGGGTCCCTGAGCGGGTGGGAACGGTCACCGAGGGGGAGTCTTGGTGACTCTGAAGGAGGCTGGTGACCCAGGAAATCTGGGGAAAAGGGAGGAGGGCAGTGACTCCCGAGGCGACAGGATGCTGTTAGTCTTGGGGAAGAGAGTTTAGAACTGTGTGTGGCGACCCCGTGTCTCCTGGAGAGGTAAAGGGAAGTGTCCTGCGACCTGAGGCAGGAGGGGCTGGCCACTTTAAAGTGGGGGAAGGGCACGGCTGAGGGCGCAGGAGGGGACCCGAGTGGGAGGATAAAAAGAGGACTCTGGAGACTGGGGGCAGGGGCAACTTGCCAACTCCTGGCGGGGCCGGGGAGTAAGGGACCCGGTGGTTCTGGGGGCAAGGGAGCAGGGGAACCAGTGTCTGGGAGGCTCGGTGACTGTGGAATCTTGGACGTGGGCGAGGGGGCAGGCCTCCTCCCCCTGGGAGGGCGGAAGCACCCGACCTTGCAGGGGCGGGGAGCCTCATCACTCTGGCTGCGAGAATCCCGAGTATTACGGGGGGGCAGGAGGATCCCGTTGGTCCTCGGGGCCTCCGCCTAGGAAAGCGGACTCCCGGGTTCCGGAGGCCAGTGGTAGCCGCGGCACCGGAGCCCACGGGGCTGCGGGTCTTCTGTGTCCGCGAGCCTCGCCGGGCCCAGTGACAGTCCCGCCCCGCGCCGGCTGTGCGCAGGTGCCGACGGACCCCGGCCACTTCTCGGTGCTGCTAGACGTGAAGCACTTCTCGCCGGAGGAAATCAACGTCAAGGTGGTTGGCGAGCACGTGGAGGTGCACGCGCGCCACGAGGAGCGCCCGGT